CACCTTCCATCCAAATAATTTTTAACTGATTTAAAGGTTGTGGCTGAGCCTTTACAGATTGGAGGGGGAGAAGGGGAAGGAGGATCCTCATTTCATGTGCAGCAGCCAACCAGTTTACAACTGGGAGTACCGATCCACCATGGGGACTGGAGACACCCAGGTGACAAAGCTGCTGAAGTCCTATAGCCTGTGCTTACCTATAGGGTCTTGCGGGAGCCTATTTCAGTCACATGTGAGGCCAGGGCTGCAGGAAAAGGCATCTTCCGCCACAGTATGGTGAGAGGCTCTCATCTGTATTGCATAGCATCTCAAGCTTAGCTCAGAGAAACCTACTCTCCCAAAACATATTTTCTGCTCCCAGAGAGTGGCGTTTCTAGTGGAGTCCTAGTGCAGTTTCTCACAACATTCCCTCTAAGAAGGAATGCATCTGGCACAGTGAAAATGTTTCCTGTGGAAATTGTTTGTTGATACCAACAGAATTCCCTGTCTTAAAAAATTTTGGTTCAGGGAAGAGCTTTTAAATACTTTCTTTTTACATGTGGACCAAGTAAGACATTACATGTCCAAGGTCATACAGGAGTACATAGAAAGTTGCAAAAGAGTAGGATGCAGCAGACTAACTCTTAAAAAACATAGTCTTATACAGAACTAAAATGTAGTTTTAGTTTACATAGTACTATTTTAAATTCAATTTTCTAGTATATTTTAGTTCCGTAAATTACTAATTACTCTGTTACTTTATCATTTTAGAGAACTACAGAAATGTTCTTCTATTACTTGAAAATGCATTGTCCTGCAGTCCTGCCAGAAAACATCAGAATTTTCTGTTTGGTTGATGTTTTACTCCAGAAGTCTTTTTTGCCAGTTAAAAGAAGCATTAACTTAATAAATTTGAGACTGTAGAAATCATTGTACTAAAATGAGGCAAAAGCTCATTAAATTGTGGAAATCAGATTTATGGCAGGTTACTCAGCGATGTGTATTACCATGGAATTCAGAATTGCTCCTTGAAGGATCACCAGCCCTACTGTTAGCAATTGCAGTGCCTTTGGCACTTCCTGTGCTCATCCTCATTCAGTCCCACCCTTTTCCTATATCTTCAACTTTTCCCTTTTGCAGAAAGGTCAAAATATGTGAAACTGGCTGGATTAAATAGGCAAGAATATGACCTGAAGCTCGTATATATAAATATATAACTACGCCTTTTCCCTCACTATCCTAGGTGCAATCTGCAATCCCTCTCAAGCTTCAGATTTCATCCTGAGCCGATAAGGCAGAAGGTCTCTTCTTAGCCTTCTTGGGAAACACTGGCTGCATTTACAGTGTCCTACAAGATGACATTTTCAGACACTGCTTGAGCCACAATCCTGAAACAGCCCCATGCTGCCAATATGTATACCTCACTAGGCCATGGGGGAAAGCATACGGCTGTCACCTCTCTAAAAATGCTGTGGCAGAACCAGGGCACCCTTCTCTTCTCATTTACAGGGCTGGCCATGCTGTCACAGCTCTTACTGGAGCCCTTCCAGGAGGAAGGACATACTACACAAGAACTCCACAAGAAATTCTAGATTTAGAACAACTATGAGTGTGTCTGCAAGCAAACCAAAGCCTCCCTCACCTCACAGCCATCAGTTAAATGCTGTTCAAGCAGACCAGCAGACAGTATGAGGCTCTAAGTGCATACATTGCACACATCCACACAGTCCTTTGGCTTTCAGAGGCTATTCCCCAAATACTGGCTCACTCACACTTTAATGGTGCCATCCATCTGCTGGCTTCACAACAGCTGTGTGAGCCAAAACTGCCCCATGGGTGACCTTCAGCCAGCGAAGATGCATCAATTTTGAACCAACAGTAGCAGGGCCAGCCTGTCACCATAAGAAAACACACAGGTTCATCCACAAAGAAAGCCTGGTTAGAAAACATTTCTTGGTTCTGCGTTCCCGACCAGGTTCTCCTTAGGCACTCAGACGTGTTTAGGGACATATCTACTGGTTGCTTGAACTGCAAACTGAAGAACAGAATTCTGTGTTTATTTCCTAGGCAGATAATCCCACTTTACCTTCTTTCCACCCTCAAATCCTATTCTTTTCCTCATTAAGATCAGACAGCTGAGAAATCTTGCAGGATCAGATGTTAGCGACTCCCTTTCCAAATTCCCTTGGCCCTGGTTCCTTTAAGCTCGTGCTGTAGATTGCTCTTATGCTGAAGAAAAAGGACCCCGTTGCCCATGTCTGTAGTGTTAGATAATGCCTTTAATGAAGGGGGTGAGGTAAGTCCTGACAAGTATTCTTAGTCCTCAGAAGGGAGTGGGAACTGTGTTCTTGCTGCTTGGAGTCAGTGGTTCAGACAGGTGCATAATCTGATTGTACTGAATACAGTGAACAGACGTAAAAAAGTCCTTGGACAATCTCCAAAGCTAACTTCAGCATAGAGCCAAGAATCTGAGTGTTGGAAAGACCTGCCTGGCAAGATTGGAGGCAGGGGATGTATCTCTAATAGCCATATGTGATGTACCGGGGGGTGGAAGGGAGGGCTGCTGTGTTATGTTAAGGCAATTGCTGAATGTCTGGTCAGACACCCTCAGATGCCGCTTGGATGCAGATGGCTACAGCTTTCTCTGCTGGGGCTCAGTGTCACTTAGCATCAAATACTGCCAAATACCCAGTAAAAATATGGCATTGTTCGCCTGTTGACACTTAAATTATTTGGGAAGCTCCAGTTAAAGATGATATTTTTGTTTTGGTTTAAGTTCTTTGGTTTTTGCTCTACCAGTCTCTTGTGGAGACATGAGCGGCCAACACCTGACTCCCTTCTTGTTTCAGAAAATCCAACACTGTTTGGAGGTCTCGGGAAGAGAGAGAATCCCTCTGGCCAGCCTTGGGATGCTTTTATTTACTTTCCTTATGAAAGTGCCTTCAGCTCATCAAGTGCTGTCAGGTATTAGTAAAAGTCGTATCTGTACACATATTGGGCAGTGGAGAGCTGTCACAGGATGTGAATTTTCTAGATAGGTGAGGAACAGATCAGGTGCTATTTGAACAGCATTGTAAGGCTGAAGATATGGTATTCCAATTGGGATGCTTTCACCACAGCAGTCCTAAGGAGCAAGGTAATGTGTCCATAATAAATAATCATTGCAATTTGACAGCTCCATGGCTTGGGCTTAAAGGTTAGGCAGAGCTCTTCTAGCTATCCTTTTCTCTTTACACCCCTAATTATATCCCATGTGAAAAGAGAAGAAAAACAAAGTTTGTGCATGTTAAAACCCTCAACATTACCTTACGTGTCTCAGCAAAAGACGGAAGGAAATCCCCTACATGACAGAGAATTTTGTGAATGGTGATCATAACTGTAACTTTATATATGGCAACTTTTGTGTTCCTTTTACCAGGAAGATTATAAAAAAGCCATAAGAGCCAAGCCTCTAGTCCTCTCCCTCTGTGCAGGCTTAACTTCTCAAAGCTTCCACCTCAAATGTCATTTGAGAACATATTCTGGCTTGTCTACCTCCAGCCTTCTTTCTCGACAGCTCCCTGTTTCCACCCCTGGTTTTCAGAGATGCCAAAAACGTTGTGATTTTCCTGCTCAAAAGACATTGCATGCCGAGTAATTCTTCTTCTCAGCAATGCTTACTTACCAGATGACTCATTAACTTCCAAAAACTTCATGCTGCTCTTCCTTCCTCTCATCTTAGCACTGTGTAGTGGTGCATATGCTTCTGGCATCTGTAAAAACACTGTATCTGCCTAATACAGCTAGAGCCTCCTTTAAACTCAAAAGCAGAAAAATGTGTGCAGGCATCCTTCTCTGGGCACAGAGTTTCTCTGACATAAAACACAGATAAGCCTCACTTACAGAAGATAACAAAATCAAAGGAAAGTAGTGGTGCTAGCAAAGGTAGAAGTGGAGAAACAGTTGCAATACATTTGGCAGAAGCCATTATTGAACATACAGAAACATCGTTACAGTTCTTTGTTCACAGAGCTCCCCAGCTTCTGACTTCTTATAGGACCTAATCCTGGAATCTGGGATGTGGCCTCTAGGAAGAAAAATAGAAAACGCTACCCACAATGCAGACAGATTTACAGCAGTTTTGTTTCTTCAACTGAGTGTTTGCTCAAGTCTTAGCATTGGACTGTTAAATCAGACACCCAAAACCTGGAGCAAAGCATCTCAACCAGCTTGTCTTTATGTAAACAGCTGCATAGAAATGCACCTTGATACGTGAGTCCTAGTGGTGAATGTGCTCTTGGGTGTTTAGCTAGGATGTGGGGGAAAGATATTCTTCATACTGGCTGCTCTGTAAGTATTTCCCTGGTGAATGTGAGAGAGTTTGTCTTCCTAGCTTCTAAGCAAAATTGTGTTACCGACTAGAGCGTTTAACCTGGGTCTTCATAGGGTAAGTGGTCAGATTAGGAAGACAAAGCCAGTGTGTGAGAGTTCATATATATATATATGAACATATATATCTATATACGACCAGCTAACATGCACACAAAGGAAAAAAAGTGATTCAAGCCCTATTTCCTGTAGGTTGTAAGGGCAGAAGTAGTTAATCGTCAGAATGAAACACCTCTTCCATGTCAAACAGATACTATGATCATGAGGGTAGAAGTTAAATAGATCAGGGTAATTAAGCAAAACATCCTTCAAAACATGCCTCTCAGAAAAAGAAAGAATGATAGATATGTAAGGTAAGTCAACCTTCGGTCCCTCAGACTTCATTCAGAGACAATTTATGTCCTATAACCCTTTGCAAAGCTGAAGACATAAAGTGACTGAACCAAATTAGGAAGTAGTCCCAACAATTACCAAAAAGTTCAACTACTGAGTGATTTAGAGTAAACCACTACAGATGTCAGTGAATTTTTGATAACACCCACCCCTGCCAGCATTTTAGCAAGGCAGTCCAGTCTGACATCCCAATGCAATAATTTTACTGTAAAGTCTTATTTCTGTTTTAATCATAATATTTCTATTACACTATTTTTCAGGCCCTGATTATATCAAACAAAAATTTCAAGAAGGAATGGAGGTGAAAGAAAAATCTGAAGAAAAAGTTCAGGAAAAACCACCTACCCCAAAAGAGTCACCTCACTTTTATCGAAAAGGTACTACACCCCCTCGAACCCCAGAAGCAAGTCCAAGGCATAGTCCTCCTCTTTCTTCTGAGCCTTCTCCTTCAAAACAACTGAAAAGGCAAAGCTCCACTTCTGGGGCAAGACTCAGTCAAGAAAAAAAGCTTTTAGCCACTGAGAATATAACACCCACAGTTAACAAGCCTTTATATTCAAAAGCACCAACGAAGGAGGAAGTAGCTGTGAAACATCAGCCAAAGTTCTCAGCCCATCACAATCCCATCAGCACAGAGAATGGGGAGCTGCATGGTCACTACCATGGCTATTATGTGAAAGTGAATCCAACAGTGCTTCCACAGGAGCTCAGGGAAGAAGAAGATGAATATGTCAACCCACCACCATCAACACTTGCACGGATACCACCCTCACAGAAGCCAAGTCCTGCTAGATCTGGGGGTAAGCCAGATGCCAAAGAAAACAAACCTGACACAAAAATTAAGAAACCAGAATTTGCTGCACCAAAGAACCCAGCTAATAATGAGTCACATTCAGCAGTGGAAAAAGAAGTAGAAAACAGCTCGGTGAGTACTGCAAGAAACCTTTTTGCTTTCACTGCCCTTTTGCCTCCTAGTGCTGAGCTTTGCAACCTAAAGACGGGCAAAGCTCAGTTCTGTCAAACCTACATCTGGATACAGTCTGCTAGCTAGAACCCAGTACACCAGACTGGAGTGAGGAACAAATATTCCAGTGCTTTATGTTATCCTTTTTGAAAACTGGGAAGGGATAGTTGATAGCCAGATACTGACAGACTTTTAAAACCTGAATCCATGTTGCATCCGTAAACACAAAAGTGTATTAGTGTGTGCGTGCGTATATATGTGCATTTTGTGTGCATGTAGGTACATATTTGCAGATATACACATATATATATTCCCCCCTGCAAAAAACAATGTTCATTGTACTTCAGTGGATAGTGGGGCAGTACTGGGAGTTACACTTATGCTCTTCCCCAAAGGTCTACTTTTGACTATGGTTGGAGACAGGATGCTGGCCTGTGGTCTGATCCAGTCCAGGCAATCTCCCATTTTCATTTTCTTCTCTGTGTTGATTGTAGGCTCTAAGAATAAGCAGTCTGTATCAAAATATAAACTGTTTTTAAATGCATACTTCTAACAATGCTTGCATTTTACGTGAAAAATTTTACATTCTTTTTCGTCAGGAAATGGAGTTTTAAAACCATACGTTCAGATCAGTCTGAATTGGAATCTCATTATTATTTAGAAATAATAGAACTATCAATAGTTTTGCAGAAAAGAAGAGATGACTAATAGTGTTTTTATTCCATGTTAGAAGAAAAAGCCAGGTTATTGAATTCAGAATCTCTGAGGATGATAAAATTGTTTCTGGGCCAAGCCAAACTCAGAAAAATGATAGCTGTAGGTCCTAAAGTTAACCTTTAGTGAATTAAGAGGTCTAGATAATTGTCATAATATTTCTTTTTTATAAGCATTATTTCTTTCAATCATTTTTGGTACTCCAGTAGAAAAAAAACCAGTATGTCATTATTGATGGAATAAACAGAATGACCCATTTCATGAGATCCAGGTAGCCTAGCACAGATCTCAGGCAAAACAGTTGAATAATTGACACCAGAGTTCATTAATAAAGAATTTAAAAATAAAGAGGTGTAAAAATTTCCAACCAACATGCACCATAAAAAATCTTGTCAAACAAGTTTGACATCTTCAGGTGTGACAGAGGAATCATATCCTCAATCAAGAAGGTCACTTGATTTGATTTTACACAATTATTTATTCTGAGAAGGAAGCCAGAGTAATGCAAAGGCTAAATGTCACATTAAAATAATTTTTTAAAAGCTGACTGATGGTTCTTTAAAAGTACTTAGAAAAACATCAGTAATTTGGTATAATTCTGATGAGGTCATTCTTGGATTAATTCTGCTGCTCTATTTTATTAACATTCTTATTAATGACATGGAAGAGGACATAAAAGTACTACACATGAAGTTTACAGAAGACACAGAGAACAGGAAACTGATAAATGATGAAGACAATGGATCACCAATACAAGCTGATCCAAATCACGTGCTAAGAAAGATGCAAGTATAATTATCCATGTGCAACACAGCAAAATGTAAGGTTGTATATTGAAAGACGGTTAATAGAGCCTGGCCATGCAGGATCAGAGCTGGAAAAGGTTGGTGGATCTGGAGCAAGAGAGGCAACTGAGCGTGAGCTCCCAGTCTGCTGCTGTTGTTCAGAGATGTTAATATAATCCTTAGATTTATCAACAGGAAAGATTAAGCAAGAGTACATCGGAGTCCGTTTTATCTGGTTTTGGCACTGGTGCAACCACTTCTGGGATAAAATACAGTGTCCATAAATCAGGGATTTAAAATGAAAAAAACCCTTAAGGGAAAGTCCCACGAAGAGCTGCAAGAATGATTAAAACATATCTTACAGTGAAAGATTCCAGGCAAAAAAAAAATCTGACACATTAAATCAATTTCTGTAAGTACTTTATAAAATAGTTTCCCAAGCTAACAGGCAAATGGGTAAGAAGATCAACAGCTGAACAGGTTTAGATAAAAGTTTTGGTTTAATTTGCTTTTAATGATATTAATTAAATGTAACATCAGTTTTCAGATGCTGAGTTTTTGGAGCTGTCACTGAATAGGTCAATAATGAGCATTTTGCCAAGATGATAACCTCTAGTTCAGCAGAAAGCTTATATTCTGTTTTGTGCAGATCAAAGTAGATGTTCACAGTGGTTTTGTAATCTGCAAATCTGTATTACAGCGATATCAGCCCTTTCACCTTTCAAATCTCTCAGATATGACTCCTATGTAGGGTAACACAAAACTGTCAGGCTTGTAAATGTTGAGTGAGCATACACAGGATTTTAGCCCAAACAGGAATTTTTTGTTCAGCTCTGGTGAAAATAAGTGGCTGGAAATAGTCCTTATTTTTCCTACATTCCACCCAAACCAAATAATGGTTTGGAGCTGAGGGAGTCTTCACCTCAAGAAACCAAGTAGGGAACCGAAACAGCAGTTTATTGACCATCTAGAATAATCAGGATAAGGACTGTGAACCTATAGCCTGTTATCAGGAAAGGTGGAAAAGTGATAAGATATTGTACATTAGCTACTGTTTGTTTATTGATATTACAGGTCATCTGGCAACTTTCCCCCTGCTTCATTTGGAGCACCCTAATTGCATTATTTTTTTTATCAGCTTTTCAATAAGGAAGGAAGATAAGAGTTTAGTAACTCATTTTTACTATAACAGCATTTTAAGATATATGTATGTATATGTGTTTTTTTCAAAGATGTCTTCCAGACGTGTCTGTATATTTGCCCTTACAGAATAAATTTCCTACATGCTTATTTCTTTAAAATGCTGAAATATTTAAAAACCCTAAAACAATTAAAGCAGAAAGGTGTAGCCTACTGGCCTAGCAGACTGAGGGAGAGACTTAGCACAGAATGACAGAATGTTAACATTACCTGGAGACTTTTTAATTTTAGTATCACCTTTCAGCTTCAGCAAAACAGTAGCCTGTTCTGCAGCGCTCCTGGACTGAGCTCAGTAGTGTGCTGGAGTTACACAGTGGCTAACCAAAGAGTGCAGAGTTACTGGGGAGAAGCCAGATTAGCGTACCTCTCTTCATCCCAAACACTTCTGGATGTTGAGAGGCTTCAGAATTCTAAGGCTGCACTGGGGAATTAATTTGGTTTAATCAGTAATTGCAATTGCTTTATAGCCATCTTGACAAACGTTTTTGTTGTGGTTTGAAAGTAAATCTGCCTTAGATCCTCCATAAAAGTTTAAAAATATATTTGTTAAGGGCCTTAAAGAGAAAAGAACTCTCACTGTTGTGAAAAGAGAATGAGAAAACGTGGGTTTGGAATGCAAAAATAAATCTATAACATTGATTGAGCACTTTCCTTAGGTGATCCAAAAGTGCTGTATGAAACTGTGCTGTGCTTTTCCCAGGTTTCCAGTGACAATGCATTAAGAACATAGCTACAGAATGTAAGATTTTCAGTTCTTCCTTCCAGATATCTAAATCAAAGCCATTTCTCACACCTGACTGAAACATAAACTTTAATTTGGATTAAGAACTTTAAAAAACTTTATTTACAGAAAAGTCTGAAGCAGCTGTTTCATATTTTCTGTGAATCTGTTACATCCTTAAGAATGTCACTGAATATCATCTGTGCAATAAGTTAGTTATAGGAACAGTTGATTCTCTAGTTATCCCCATTTCTGGCATTATACTTGAAAAACATCAGAACATACTTCTTATGCCACACAAATAAATGTTTTTCTCTATGCACTTATTTTCTAATGTTCAAAAATCAAAGTTTAAAATCATTTCAGAGCTCATGAGAAAGAGTCATAGTTTTATCAAGGTGAAAACATGCATAAAGCACGATGACAAAGTCACCATTCATCAGCCTCTCCAAAATAGTTCTCTGTTTGCAGGCATTTATCCTAATAAGTGGGAGGTAGATCATCCTTTTATCACTGAGAATTAGGCACCTTCAAATTACCTTGTATTTACCACAGTGTGAAGTGTGCACAGAGACACTTGAGCACAAACCAGTACTGACTGTTGTTTCTAATTGCTCATTAGCAGCCTCTAGCCCCAGTATCAGCTTGCATGTTGCTATCCCACCTTGAATATGAGCTAATTTGAGATTTTCTTGGATTTGAGTAAAAATTAGGATCGAATTGCAAAAAATACCATTGTAGTGTACATTCAGGAATACACATTTTATTTGCCTGATGTGCATCTATGTGTTGCCCTAGGTCAGGTACAAGCCCAGGCACAAACGTTCTACTACATTGTTATTTTTTGGTTTTGTAAGTAAAGATTTTTCAGCCACACAGAGTGTTCAGCCTGGTTTTTACCTGTATCTAAAATCATTAAGTTTTGCTGAATGTTACCCAGTGTGCTTCTACTCACATCTTTATTCACTTACCATCCAGTTAGGAAGGGATATAACTATCATGATGTTAGAAAAATAGATCGGTATTTGCCTGATCCTAAAAAACCCTCCCGAGCAAGAACTTTATGCTAAATTTAATGGACATTTCTAATGCAATGGTCTTACAAGACGAGTCTTAATACTTCCTGGCACTACCTTTTGGGAAAATAACTTTCTTCCCTCCCCAAATGAAAACTAATCGTATGGTTATATTTTTAACTACGTAAGCGTCTGACTTACTAGAAGCTGAAAGGGCAGTTTTTAAGCAGGACTGGAGTTTTTCTACTACAGCTTCTTTAGTGCACCTGTCCTGGTCACTCTCGGACTGTTCAGACTAATTTTGGCTTTTGCTATTTTAAGCCCTTGCAGGACACTAAAGTCTTACTTACAGTATTTGTCTTAAAGCATTAAATGCTCATTTCATAGGTGTCTACAAATCAGGTAGTAATTTATTGCATGATAGCCATGTGCTCCACAAATACTGTTTGATCATTTTTTAGTGTATCAGGAGATTCTGCTTTGGGCTGAAAGTTGTTGTTCTCAGAAAAGGAAACAAAATGCACGTAGCAGGCCAAAGGAGACGAGATCTACTTCTTTGTATAAAGCATAGACTCATGATCATAAACATTAACACATTTTTCTTTCATCTTCACATAAAATCAACAAGCCAGTTCTTATGGTGTCACTTTCTTCTGTCTGTGTAGATGAGATTTCTTGATTCAGACCATAGCCCCTAGGTTTTTTAGCCTAATTTATCTAATATTACTGTGGGGAGATTATACCTGTACCTATTATACCTATAGCCAGGTTCTACCTAACCTGACTGAGAGAGGCATCAATAGAGAAGTTCCCTCCCCCTACCACCAAGCTTAATTCTGTACGACTGCGCACTAATGATACCGAGTTGCTGTTTGAGCTGCAGTCCCAACTTGCCATTTAGCCAAAATCTGTCTTGCAGCTATCAGGATGCTGTTTCAGGATACGTTTCAGGTAATGAATGAGTTCCTGGTTCCTGTGAAGTCCCCGTAGGTCCAAATTTTTCTTCAGTAGTAGTAAAGCAACTTGATTTCCATGGATGTTATTTTCAAATATGAAAAGCATTAGATGGCCAAATCCCAGTGAATTTTAATGGTATTAGGCAATGATCCCCTTCACAGTTCCTTGCAATCCCTGGTGCAGTAAAACTGTAAAATCTTTAGGTGGGATCCCAAACTATGGAGGAATTATTGACCTGATTTTGATTACACAGGGAGTCCCTATTAGAATCATAAAATCAGAGAATAGTTTGGGTCGCACAGAACATTTAAAGATCACCTAGTTCCAACCCCCCTGCCATGGGCAGGGACATCTTTCACTAAGTGAGGCTGCTCAAAGCACCATCCAACCTGGCCTTAAACACTTCCAGGGAGGGGGCATCCACAACTTTTCTGGGCAACCTGTTCTGGTGTCTCAGCACTGGAGAGAATGATGCTGAATTCAAATCTTAGTGGAAATTAATAGTGTAGTCACATTGCCTGTAGAGAGGTATGTAACGTTAGGACATATGTACTATTCTTGTAACGAGATTCTGGGATTTTTTTTTTTGCAAAAGAAATCATTAAATGGAAGGTTCACTCTAAGGGTGTTGGCACTGACATTCCAAGACAGCACAACTGAGAGATTCTGAAAGTAGCTGTTGTTTCAAGTGAAACACGTTTTATTGTTCAAAGTCTTCCAATATGGCTTTCATGCATAAATCTCACAATTGCCAAATGCATTTGGTGGGAAACCTGATGGGAACTTGGGTTTCCTCACCGGTAGAAAAGCATAGAAGTACCCAAGCTAGCACAATTGTGACTGTGCCAGGAAGAGAAAGAAGAAATTAACCTTGAGTTACACACTACTACGGTGAGGCTGCTTACAGTGCCGCAGTCAGAAACGTAACCATATCTGGACTCCTGCTTTCCTTCTGTGGCCGTTCTCTGTCACCGAGTGTCTTGTATCCTTTGGCACATAGCAGCTCACTTCCAGTAAGAAGGAACATGGTTCCACTTCTGTTCTGTGACCCAATGGTTAAAATATACCACTGGTAAGTGGGAACTTGTTATTCAAAATCCCTTTGACTAAGGTGACCTTAAACTGAGTCTTCAATTTCCTAGTGAATACTTTCGACATTAAGCAAAATGTGAATGTTGCTGCCAATACTTTACCCCTGTGGCAACATTTAACTAGCATCCTGATAGTCTCGATCGTTGTTTGAACTTGAACACCTGGTTCCTCAGCATGTGAACAGATACCTCTGAACAGGTGAAAAGGGAATTTTATGGCTTTTATGGATAGAGGTGCTGACTGGGTTTAGACTCCCCAGAGACTTAAGGAGTACTTAACATGACATATTTTGTGACTTATTCAAGAACTTAGCAGTCCACATCTGGCCTGCCATCTTAACTACTGCCTAAAGGTGTGTTCTCGTAGAAAGTGTTTAATGAGACTGTTTCAGGATGAGAGCATGTGATGTAATAATGACACAAGTATTATTCAGTAGCTTCCCAGTTACACTGCCGCGGCAAATTAATAATAGCGAGTTCTTACACCTCAGCATTCCAGAAATTATATAGCTAATGTTAGCATCGTCATGAAGCATAATGAATTTCTGCAAGGCATGCCTCATGTGGAAGGTGAAAAACTCTGTCATTTCTAATAAAATATCTACCTTCTTACGCAAGCCAGTGATCCTTAATGTAGCTCGGAAGATAGTTTTCTGCAGGGGTTTTTGGTGGGCTTTTTTGTGATTTAGGAAAGTATTGTCTGAGTGAAGAGTTTTTCTGTTTCTACTTACAGTAAATGTGCAACCTTAATGTATAAGTGTATACTAATCTCTGTGAAAATATGTTGTGTTAAACTAAGTATGTTAAGAGGGGAACAGAAGAATTGAGAACTTCCATCTGTTCAGGACATTATTTCAAGTTGCTCATTAGAAAGCATCCATGTTTAAAAGAAATTACCCAAAATTTCTGAAAAGAATTTAAAACTTTGTTCTCTGGCTTCACAGAAAGACTAAAATTATGAACTGATTAAGTTTTCTAACCAAGTTTAGCTCTAGCTAGGAAGGGAAGGAGTATTTTGACTTTTCATTTCTTCAGTACATAGGTTTGTAAGATAAGCGTCGGCGTAAAACAAAACAAGTGTAATTTTGCAGGTGTAAAATTGTTTTTTAATCTGTAACGGAAACATTGCTAGGTATCTTAGTGCAACGGTAAGTAACTTTTCTTTTCCCCTTTGGTTATCAAAAAAAGGTATTCTTTTCATAAAACACATTGTCCTGTCTATTTTTGACGGGTTGGAATTAGAGAAGGAACCTACTGTAAGGAAGAGCAGCGCACCGACTTTCTCAAAGTAGTTCAAGTTCTTTGTTTTGCTTTAGTTTAAGCTGATACTGGTTTTGTGTTGATGGCTGTGTTTTCATTTATTTATGCAGTCATATTTGTCAGATGGTTTAATCTCAGTGTGATTAAGAACAGTGTAATAATATCCTCTCACCTGTATTTATCCAGCTCATTTTCACACAGGTGATATCTAGCTCACCTAAATACGACAGGTAATGGCTGTGTTTCAGGAACTGAGTCTGTATCTTTAATATTTAGGTAATCTCTCAGAGCAAGGTCAAAACGCGTAGCAATGATGAAGTCAGGTCACATTCATTGCTGTGCAATGTGGAAGCTGGCATTAATTCTGATATCTTTATTTTATTTTCAGGGCCCTAATTCAGTCATGATCGCCCTGGTAATGCTGTTGAATATTGGTTTAGCCATTCTTTTTGTCCATTTTCTCACTTGATTGGAATTAGGAAAGGTAAGAAAGGTTTTGTTCTCATATAAAATCACCATATCCACCCCACGTCAAATGATAAAGATTTCATTTCTTTGCATATTTTTAATGTTCCCTACTTTAATTTTAGCTATGCCTGAATGTGATTCAACATAGTTATTTAATAATGTAACTGTTTTGACCCTTCAGTGAAGTCATGACAACTAGTGGTGTTAGCCCACAGTTCTCTGCAGTTGTGTCATCAGCCTTTTAAATGGCACCTGTCATACTCAGACACAGGGAAGGAGGCTTGGAATTAGGATGGGACGCAAGAGAGATGAAACTTGGAAAATTCAGCCAGGGGCCCAGATCAGTTTCTCTACTGATGGCTCGTGGCTTTGGGGTCTTCTGAAAGCTGAAGCAAGCAGCCATGTTGGAAAACAAACAAAATAATCTGCTGAAGCAGCCCCGCCGGTGAAGTGCGTTGGCTTCTCCATCTGTTCCAGCAGAGTGTGACTAAACTGGAAATGTACGGAGCTGCACTTTTTGTTGATGGAAGCTAACAGCTGCCTTACTATTTTACCGTCTGATGTTTTTAGTGGGGAGATGGGAAAACGACTGCCAGAGGAATGTGGTCAGAGGATTCTGTTGCTGTGGAAGTGATTCCAGCGTTCACTCCTATCTCATTAGAAGAAATAGTTAGCAGCATCAGTCACCACTCTTATTCCATTACCTGCTGCTTTTAACATCTCCTGCAGTGTGCTGGGAGGTCGAATTTCATTTGCCTGTGCATGATTCTGTTCATTCGTTGTTTATGAAATTTGATGTATAGCCATAACATAGTGTCTGGTCCAGCCTGGAGAAAGCTACCAGTTCTGTCTAGCAGCAGAAGCAGAAAACAAAATACCTTTTTCTGATCAGAAGATGAAATTCTTAAATTCATTTTCCTAAACCTGAAGAGCCGTTTTGCTTTAAGGTTTAGTAAGTAATACACCATGACTGCAAAATTTTAAGATGTTGATATCTTCCTAAAAGTGCTCAAATGCTTATGCCAACAGCAAGCAAAACTTTTCATAATAAAAGAAGAAGAATCTTAATTTGATATCAGCACATTCTAAACAGGAGGTGAAATATCAGAATAAGCCAAGAAAGATGAGATACAGGGTTTGCATGTTGACTTTTTTCCTTTTTTTTTTTTTTTTTTTTTTCTTTAAGGTTTAGTAAGTAATACACCATGACTGCAAAATTTTAAGATGTTGATATCTTCCTAAAAGTGCTCAAATGCTTATGCCAACAGCAAGCAAAACTTTTCATAATAAAAGAAGAAGAATCTTAATTTGATATCAGCACATTCTAAACAGGAGGTGAAATATCAGAATAAGCCAAGAAAGATGAGATACAGGGTTTGCATGTTGACTTTTTTCCTTTTTTTTTTTTTTTTTAATTCTGGTGCTGTGGTAATCGGTGATTTGAATTATTATGTTTCAACACTGAAGTATTTTGCCAGCGGTTAAAATAAAATCTTGTCTGAGTGCACATTAATGCCAATGACAGTTAAGCTAGCTAATGCTCATAATAAATTATCATAACGTTAAAATACTAGGTTTGTGTTGAATACATTCAGGTAGAGCGTTTAGAAATGTGAAGTGATTGTTTATCGATTTGATGCCTCCAGTGTCTTTAAAGTCCACTTATAATTTTACCTCAGCATTAAAAAAGCCTCAAATTTTTTCATTTGGAAAGTTTGTCTTAAGTAGTTTCTCAGCCCTTTGTTCAAATGATGTGATCATGTTTCTTTTTATGTGCCATATACTGTAATTATTGTACCCTATATTAATCAAAAGCATGCTTATTTACTGAAAATACGTGGTGTGATCATTTGGCAAGTAAATCTTTTCATTTAAAGCTACAAAAAGCAAAGGGCTTGTATTACAGTTTATTTTATCTCTATTAGAAAATCTTTCATACAATATAGTTTTTGAACCTGTTTGTAAACTTTCTAAGTGTTTGCATGGTTTAATGGGCGACATTCGTACGAAGTACATTCGCTATCTTTTGATGCAGCATATTAAAGTAACGTAGGTGTGGACTGAATATTGTGCAGCAAAGCAGCTCCAAGCAGGACAGTAACACCATGGTGTTTTTTACAGAAGAATGTTGAGAATCCTGTGTTTTGACCAGTGTGGATAAAGAAGAAAGCAGAAAGAGAGCAAATGAAAATAAAACTTGTATATTTATTTTTTAAAAAAAAAAAAGTTTAAATTGTGTTTTAAATTTAGGAAAGTAATTTTTAAATAAGAACAAAATTTTAAAAGTTACTGTGTAAGCCTTGACATAATGGACAAAGTGTTCCATCCAACAGTGAAATCACCCCCTGTCTCCTTCCATGGAGAGGTAATTTTGTAACTGACGTATTTAATTCCTATTAAATGTTTATTTAAAATACTTTATGCTCTGGAAATAATGGGTAACAAAGCTTATGAAAATGTTTATAAATTTAAGTAAGCATGTTAGTACCATTTATAAATATGTATGATTTATAAGCTTTTTTAAAACAAAGCTCAAACAAATTGTTGGTATTTTTCTAAAATGTGCACAGCTGTATTTTACATGAAAGGCTATTTATAATTGGTTGTTATACTGTACACTACATTTTGGACAGCACAATGAAGCTTGCCAATGTACTTAATAATGTCATTTTGTCTATTTAAAGTTTCTTGCTGTCAAAGAATGAACTCTTTATCTATGAGTTTCTCTATTTATAATTCTTGACCCAAAATGTACAATGTACAGTTTTCACAACTGTATTTGCTCTAATAAAAATAAATTGGTTATTAATAGAGTTTCAGACTAGTTTTTCCTGTTTATTAATTACTTTGTTCACTCTCTGGAAACAGTTTTTCTAATAAATTCAATAAACAAGGAACGAGGCAGGAAAATGGGTGAAGTCTTGGCCCCTTTGAAATCATTGTGAGTTACTGTTGTCGAGAAAATGTTCTGGGAAACAATTTAAAGTTTAAAAAAAAAAAAAGCAAGTTTCCTTATGTGTCTTCTTTTATCTTCCAATACAGGATTTTGTATCTTTATAAATTCAGTATATTAAATTATACTCCCACTACAGGGATGGTTTAATCAATCTTGTTTTAACCAGTGAGTGACTGGTCCATTAACAGCTGTTCCTGTAAGTGAATCAACAACTTTTTTAGACTTCCCTCCTTCTCATGGTCTTCAGAGGTTCAAAATTAACATGAAGTTTGTGAGCCAACATTCTACACAGGGAAAATTCATCATTACAACTGCCCTAAAGCCACCACATTTGCTGAACAAGTTAATCAGCTGAGAATTTTATTTTCTGTGATTCCAGTTCAGATTACTAGCCAGCTGTGCTGAAATCCTAACGTTCAGTTGAAAAGGAGAGCAAGTGTTCTTAGTAGTTCCTATTTAATGGAAACGTATTTTTAGGATGTAATTGTCTTATTCTTTAAAATAATTCTACCAACATGAAGCTTAATTTTAAGAATTTGTATTTTCTATGCAATAGCCCACTCTGGAGAGAAAAATATATTCTCAAGAAAAATAAACAGAAATAACTGTAATGCCAGAAAATTTTACAGTCAAGTTCACCGAGACAGCTCTTCTCTGACATTTTGTGATCCATGTTGTATAGCATGTTCCGTAATGAAAGTAAATTTGACATGGAATATTTCTTATGTTCTATGAATGCGATAATGTAATCAGGCATATGGAAATCTTAACAGCAACAAGCAAAGGATTTGCCCAGAAATAGAAGGGAAAAAAGTTTCTATAATCAACTGAGAAATATGACAGCTTTCCCTGCCCATCAGTGTTCATAATTCTCAAAAATCAATGTGTATGTAGAAATACAATATTTTTTCTAAGGTGTCTGAAAGCAGATGCGGATCTCTGAGATGTTTTCACCAGTGGTTTATATCAGTTGTAAGCTTACAAATGGGTTTACGTGGGAATGCATCTGCTATGCCTAAGGGGGAGGAGAACCCCATGAACACACAATGCAGCTTAATGCTCCAAGATTTGCTCTAGCATGGAAAATTTAACCCCACTTTAGTGCAACAATTTTTTTTCCCAGGCAAAGTAGTTTCTTCTAGCACAGTTGTGTGTTCGCCCACAGCTGCCAATAAGTAGTGAGCTCTCACCTTTGAATTTGAGGTCTGGTTTCTTGGGCAACTCCATTTACCTGATATAACAATATATATAGCGCACGCAGAAAAACAGCAAATGAATGATGTTGAGGTGCCAAAGGCTGAAGAAAAAAAAATCTGTTATCATTGCTTTTACTATATCTAGTCCTTTCTTTACTTAGTGTATATATATAGTCCTTACTTTATCTTCCCATCAGAAAAGCAGTAAGGAATGCAGAGTGTGGAACCTTTTCCATATGTGTTCCAAAAGGAGGGATTCAGTTTGAAAGCAGAAATTTCACGACATATGACTGCAACTTGCCTTTCAGATACAGACGTACGTTAAAAAAATCATTAATACAACAGAGCGCTGACTTTAAAAGGAGTAAGCGCCTCTTCATGAGCATTTGATTAAAAGTCTTGAAATAGTTACTTACTTAATTTTTAATGACACATTACATAGCTATTAAAAGCTCTATTAAGATACAGTTACAAAATGCTGAAAGATTCTGACAATAATGTGGATGCAACGATAAAAGCCTGCAGAAATCCACTACATATTGAGCTACAGTAACGTGCTTAGCTGTTATTAATAAAACGTGGTTGTGAATTTTATCTAAATGGTTTTACTCATAGCTTATTTGAATCGTATAGTCAGGAGAAACAGTTACATACCGTTCTCCTATGGAAATGTAATTCAGTAAACAAAGGAAATGAAGAGAAGGGAAATTAAATAAGCCTTTCAAATGAAGTAGTCTTCTCATTCTCTCATTTAATATTCACACAAACAGGAAAAAAATAGAAATTATGTTAAGTCTGAGCAAGAAGCTGTGTATGGCAACGTGCTGTAGCTCAGCCATCTACAGTATCCATCTTTTTTTTTCCTACTGGATGCAGAAACTGCTAAATAAGTGACATTACACCTCCTACCATTGTAGGAGGTAAGTATAATTTCCATGCACAACATCTTTAAGAAAAACTGTCTATAATGTCAATGGCTTTTAGACTAGGAGGACCATTGCTGACAGCTGAACAAATCCCTCACCCCTATAAAACCAACAGCAAGAATGAAGCTGGTGACAGAATTTGTTAAAATCTCTCATGTTTCTTCCTTTTCTTTGCTAGAAAGACAAAAAAAAAAAAAAAAAAAACAACCAGAGAACAGACAGCTTGTTTTTAATCTGATAATCTAAATTTCATCATGTCAATACGTGTTTGTTTCAGCTAATGTTTTTCACAATCGCTTGGGACTGGTTATCTAGGAGATTTCAGGTGCAAACTGGCAGTGTACTGAGTGCCATTTCTCCAAGAGGAAGGTTTTCCATTTTTTTCAGTGATGGAGGAGAATGGGATTTTCCTTATCACCCTTGAAATGGTTTTGGTTGTATTTTTTCTGTGCTACCACTATTTTTTTATTTATCTTTTATCCTCCACTGCCCACCCACCCCACAACTTAAGCAAATTCAACTTACTCTCCTTCGCCCCCCACACAGCCCTTTGCCCCCACACTTCAGCCACTTATTGCCATAACTCATGCTTTCTTTTGGGCACACTTGTTTAAGCAGTGAGTTTAGCTCTCTGTGGCGATGGAAGCCATCTCTCTTGCAGTTTGTCCTGCACCAAATTGCATGTGTCATGTCACAATTTTCATTTGGTCCGGTTTTCTGCATACTACTGATGCTGGTTTATGCAGCTGTATTCTAATTTCAAATCTATACTCACCATCTCCAATGTCAGGACAGTGATTTATACACCATATGTGGGAATTGAAGAGAAAAGAAAATGACTGAAAACTCTGTACACAGAGATTTCTAGTAGCTCTCCATAATTCATGGAAACCAGCGCAATGCTGTCATCGTTGAGGAAAAAATCTGCTATCACCTGGGTTATGAACTCCACTACAAATGTCCACATTAAGATTGTGAAAAAGACTGGCCATACAGCTGAAGCTGGTTCTCAACTCAGAAGACCAAGGAGTGCTCTTGAGGGTTGTGATTTACCGGGACGGTGTGGTGTGATGATTTCTGGACTTGGTATACAAACATGTGGATTGTTAGATGGAATAAAATACACCCTGCCTTGGAAATTCAGTTTTGCTCACTTGCCTGAGCTTTCATCTCTCTTCCTGCGTGTTTACACTGATTAATCAGACAGCTCTATGGAAATTGAAGCACGTACATTTAGACAAGGACTAGGTTTTACTTTCATAAGTGATTTCAATGTTGATTAATGGAAGACCAATAAATGACAGAGAGGTGAATTATAGGTTCTATAGGTTTTGAACTCTGCTTTTTTTTATCCAAAATGGAAGAAAATAAAGAATATAGTCAAAGAGTAAAATTCCAGATGTTATCTTTCACAGTAATAATTTGTATAGTAATCCATGACAGTACCTGAGTTCCTTTGAGATCAATACATGAATTTGAGAGAGGAGACATGTCTTTCTCATATTTCCAAATTGTGGTTCACTGCACAGCAGCTTGGCAACAACACTGTATTAGACCACAAAAGACAGACTTGACTAAGATTTTTGAGAATGGCTGCCTATATTTAAAGTTCTTAGTCTACACTTAATGACCTAAGTTTAAAAAATTTCCAGCTCCTGAACACCTCACAGTTACTATTCAAAGACATATGTGGGGAGGGGAAGGAGGGAAGGGAGAAGAAATCAGGTATTACACCGAAAACTGCAGCCTATAAAAATGTTGAATCTGGCCTACAAATATGCCAGAGATTGAAAACATTTAGATCTGGATTTTGGATCAGCCATTGGAGCTACAGGCTCTAAGTGCGGGATTTCAGTCAGAATCCAAATCTGAGTCTGATTCCAATGGCACACAGCCAAAATTCTTGAACTGGGAGTGCTTTTAAGGGAAGGGACGGGGGGAAGTTAGCTAAAATCAGGCTGCAGTAACTCTGGGTTAATTAAACCATTACATTCTGTACTTCTGGAACAGTATCATTAACTGTATTTAACATTGCAATTTTACTATATTCGGGACATGTTCCACAGAATACCTCTGAAAGTATCATAATTTAAGATAATGGTGCTTAATTACTTAGCCAGTT